AAAAAAAATTTGTATTGGTAGTTTAAATTCAAACATTCATTTCATTCTCTAATTTTTACCATGATAACAACACCCCAAAATATGTATACTTTTTGTAGCTAAGAAGAGTGATAAACTTGAAGAAGCAACAGAAGCTGAGCTCATGGATGCAACCACAAATGATGCAGAATCTTTAAATGCTACTATTGGAATTTTGACATGATCTTTTTTAACAGAAGCAATAGTAGGCACATTCTTTATCTATTGTTTTATCATTATATTTAATTAACATGCATAATTTCTATGTCTATTGTGTTTTCATTATTGAACATTTAAATTATTGCTTTTAAAATTAATGCATGATTTCAAACTCATTCAATTTCATTGTTTTGTAAAAATTGATAGGCAATATCTTTCTATAGAGGCTATTGAAAATTTTCTACTCTGTTTGATGTCAAAGGCATTGTTTTTTTTTTTTAAATAGTAAAAAGTAATATTTATTAAAAATGGAGTATAAAAGATATCTCAAACCCATAAATATCTCAAACCCATAAATATCTTAACTTGAAAGATATAAAATTACAAGAGCAGCCCTTTCTGATATATTAATACAAGAGCACTTCCAAGTTATTAAAAACTTTGACTTGCACTTTGTCCACGCAGAATAAGAAACAGTTTTAGATGCTTGCCGTAAGGTATCGACACCAAACTTATGGGTCGACATCACACCCGTGGCGGGTTTCTGTCCTCTTTTGTAATTTTTTAATGGTAAAATTTCATATCTGATCCTCCAAATTTAGTATAATAAGCATTTAGATCCCAAAACTAAATATCCATTCATTTAGGTCCCTAGGATAACACCTTCCTTCTTGCAATTTGGGCCCTCAACTTTCAAAATATGTTCATTTAAACTCAAAAACTCCTATTCTTATGCATTCACGTCCTTTTCTTTTCTACCGCCCTTATCTCAAACATACCTTTGGGTCTCTCATCCAGTCTATAAGTAGAATTGCCCAACCCTTTTTTTTAGCTTTTATCCATTCCCAAGATCTAATCTGGATAACTTCAAAATATGTCAAAGGCATTGTTGATGAGATTTTTGCAAGTTACATACATGAAGGGCAAGACAATGTTTGGTATCTTCGAAAATATATAGGCAATACCAGGATGGTGGCAAGGAAAAAACTGAGTGGTTTTGGCTATTATTCTTACTAATGATTATATGTCAATATGTTAAAATCTGTGTTGAAATTAAATATATTTACCTTTTACTCTCTTTTTTGTGTCTTTATTGTTATTTTTTACATTTCAAACTTTGTTTCTTTAAAAAAGAACTTAAGAATTTTGATTTCAATTTAAGTTGTTACTTCTAAATTTTTTTTTCTCTTGAAATCTTTTTTTCATAATTATATATACTCACGCACTTAGGCAATAAAAAGGAATATATACGTGTAGTAGCTCATAAGAAAACTTGATAAGAGCATTAAAAGTGAAAATGTACATGAATCATTTTAAAATATCAAATTTAATGTATCATATTTTAAAAAT